TAAGACTATAATTATAATTTAATAGTTAAATTATAATTAAAAGATTAATTATGGAATTAATATTGACATATAGAAATATTGGATTGGGCTTTTAAATATGATTTAAAAGGAAATAGACAAAGTAGCCCAAAAGGCTATTGGGCCCAAGGGATAAGTGACATAAGATGACATGACCCATGGCCCAAATGGAGCCCCGAATACCCACCCAATTGCCTTTTGTGTTGTCCTATATAAGTATTGGAGAAAACCTAGCTAGGGTTTTTGGTTTCCTACTTTGGTTGATGAGTGATCATCTTTGTATCTCATATTTCATAAACCAAAAATTAGTCTAATAAAGAAGTAGACTAGCATCCATACTTCTTGATTGCCTTCTCTTCATCTCTAGGAGCATTTGGTGTGGTGAGGTAGAGGACACCAATCTTAGAGCCTTAAGGTGAAGGAGTCAAAATCAAGAGAAACAAAAGGCATTTCCAACAAAGGTGTTCATTCTTGAGAAATCAAGAAAAGGTCATTAAGGGTAAAAGATCCATTCCCTTTTTCCTTTTTCTATTTGTGTTCAAAGAGGCTAGAGTAAGATACTTGATTTAAAATGAAAAAGGTTTAGCTCAACTAGTATAAACAAAATGAATCCGCCATTTAGAATGTTTTTGTTGTATAGGTTGTGGCTAAAGTTCATTTCCTAAGCATTAGATGCATGTTTCCTTCAATTTTAAGGGCAATCTAATCCTTTCTACCCAATCCTCTTCAGCCTCCTCCAAAACAGTGGGTGTTGTCACTTCCGCAGGCTCTAGGATCAGACCTCTTGCACTTGAATCCAACTTCAGGGTCCTCAATGCTGGGAAGATCTTGAGCCCAACACTAGGTTGGGTTTATTTAAACTAAGACCCATTGTTTTAAACTGATGGCATGTTTACTAATCTGTAATTGGATTATGAGGAATTGAATTGAGGATGAATTGAATTGAGGAGGAGTTGGATTGAGAAGAATTAGATTCCAGATTCATATTGAAGTTGTTTACTAAACCATATGGATTGTGGGGAGTTAGATTCCGAATTCCTATTGATGTTGTTTACTAAACCATATGGAATTGGGGTAGGAGTGGTTCTAATTACTAAAATGTCCTTGTTGTTGGGTTAAAGTAGATGACATATTTAGAATTTTGAAACTTGTTTGAGGGTATAATGGTAGAAAAGATGAATTCCTAATGGGTTAATTCTCCAGGAATTAGAATACCACCTCCCACCCAAGAATTGAATTCCTCCAAAATTAGGAATTGTGTGCGCCCCACTTGCTTTTCAATTCCTTGATGTGAAGTAAACGCAGGAATCCTCCATATATGAAATTCAATTCCTGATTAGTAAACACACCATGAGATTTGAATATAGGGGTGTGGGGGCGGGGTCAGAAGAGAGAATCAGCTATATAGGTTGGGTTGAGATTTCTTTTTTTATTTTCTAATTCTTTAGTTTTTAATGACATGAACCTTCCAGTCAGGTTAGAAGCCATTTGAGGGAGGGTTTGAGGGAGGGAGGGAGGGAGGGGAATGGATCTTGTGATAGCTGGGGTTTTTTTTCTTTCCATTTTGTTGATTCTTTTTAAAATTTTCAAAAATATACTTCATATTTTAAAGGGGTTTACTTTTTATTTTGCTTTAAAATTACGAATTTGTTCTTATTATTGACAGACAAGTATATGAAATTTAGAAAACTTGACAATAAAAGGTGAAATTGGATATTTATTATGAGTTTGGAGACTAAATTGGCTAACAAAATAATTCATAAGGCTAAATTCAAATAGCGTGATAATTAAGGAGTCAAAACGACTGAAAATCCTTCATAAAAAAAACATCTCACTTTTGATGAAAAGACAAGTATGATAGTTAATATATCATTACCCAAAAAAGAAAGATATTTGAAGTTTGGATCCCGTTCTCTGATATCTAATCCCGGAAGCATACAAAAGACTAGGAAGAAAGAAAGCCACCTGAGTCTTTTGACCCCTCCTAATTAATTTCCCATCCATCTAAATCCAAATTAAACAACAACAAAAAAAAAACACACACACACACACACACAAAGCCTCTCTCTCTCTCTCCTCCCAAAATTCGAATCCGCATCCACCGCCAAACCCTATTTTTCTATCTCTCTCTCTGTATCTCTCTTTCCTCTGGTTCTGGCGAGCTGAGCCTGAGACCAAGCTGCTGCAAATACAAGAAGCACACGAGAATACATATAAAAAGCACGAAAATGAGGAGGGGAGCTAAGAGGAAGGCGAGCCAGAAGGAGGCAGAGAACCACAAAGAATCGAGCAAAGCCGCCAACAGCAGCAAAGCCACAAGGACTCGGACGACGAAGAGGGTTAAGGCGTCCGAGCCCCAATCGGAGCCCCAATACTTGGAGGACCCTCGGAACCTCGAAGATCTATGGAAGGCTGCATTTCCTGTTGGGACTGAATGGGATCAATTGGACTCCGTTTACCAATTCAAGTGGGATTTCTCCAATCTCGAACAAGCTTTTGAAGAAGGGGGGAAGCTCTATGACCTTGGCAAGAACAAAGTCTATCTCTTCGGTTGTACTGAGCGTAAGCTACCTGCTACCAGCTTCTGTTTGCATTTTTTTTTTTTTGGTTTCTTCATTTCAATGTGTTTAATTTCTCCAATTACGTTCGCTTTTTGCAGCTCAATTGGTGTCTGTGAATGGTGAAAACAAAGTTGTTTGCATTCCTGTTGTGGTCGCTGTAAGTTCAACAACTCATCTCTGTTTTCTGCTTTAGATGCCCAATTTTCTTCACTCAAATTAGTTAGCTTTTTACTTTACTGTTTACAAAATAAAATAAAATAACTTATTTATGTGAAAGTTTTACTTCGTACTACTTCAACTGTAATGAAATTGGTTTACTAATTCTTCAATCATATATTGAATTGAACTTCTTAGAATGCAATGTTTGCTCATTTGGGTATGTCTTTCGTTGTTTTACATTGTTGTTTCTTATAGTTCTACTTCCCGTGTTCGTAGAAAATGAGTTTATTTGGTAATGGAAACAATAATTCATCTGCAACCGTCTTGTAATTTTTATTTCTTAGACTGAGTTTGCATCCTGCATTTTTTTTTTCTTTGTAACATGTTTCTTGTATGTTTTTAGTAAATGATTTATATTTTGGTAATTGCAAACCTGACTGCGCATTACTATGCATATAATTCATCTCTTGTCTTGCTAAGCTTCTTTTGCTCTTATAGGTTGTATCACCATTCCCCCCTTCGGATAAGATTGGGATTAATTCAGTTCAGAGAGAAGCTGAAGAAATAATTCCCATGAAACAAATGAAAATGGACTGGATTCCATATATTCCTCTGGAGAATAGGTACGATTTGGTGTTGGTGGTTTTGAACTCATTTCAAGAAACACTTCTGTTTGGAAGTTGTAAAGTTCTTTGTCAATTTCTTGATATCATTGTGCACTTTCAACTTTCTACAGAGACAGCCAAGTTGATAGACTTAAATCTCAAATATTCATTTTGGGCTGCACTCAAAGAAGGTTGAATAACACTCATTCTCATTCCCCTTTCCTCTTTTTCCTTTTATTTCTTGTATTCATGTATGTTTTTAGGTTTTGTAATCAGTGTTACAGAACTGCTGTATAGTGAGTTTGGATATATAATATTGGAATTATTAAAATTACTGTATTATTTTAGTTGGTTTGGTTTAACTCAGTCAAAGCCATGATTATGTTTTTAACTTCCTTATAACCGAATTGAACTAATTTTTTATATTTTTGGTTTTGGTTTTTTGGACAATTAAGTAAAATATTCTTAACAATCCCATGTTATATTCCTGCTTGGCTGTTTAAAAGGAGTAAATCTTGGTTGTTTCTGTAGTCTATTTGTATTTTGCTTTGGATTTGCTACTTTTCATCATAGGTTATTCATAGACATTAGTTACATCATGTTGATCTGCCACTGAATGATTCACTGTTCAGCATAGCTGTCCATGAGAATGTTTTGCATTGAATGTGTACCATAATGTTCATTTGTACCTGAGTGGCTGATGTATTCCCATTGGCTGGCTTTGAACCCTTGGTTGAGGCTGACTAATGACACCTCCTTAGCTGTTTCTTGTCTGAACTAAAACCCTGTGCTTTTACTTGAGGCCATATGTCATACATTGAAATGCACGCTATATATAAATTATAAAGTCGCCTAGGCAGGCTTGTAGTTTACATATTTTCCCTAGATAAAGTGGGTGTTTGTAAGCCTTTATCATTGCTATTTTGCTTTTCAGACCTCTGTTTTAAAATTAGTTTTCCACTTTTGTTCGAGTTTTGCTGTTGAGTTTTGTCTTACACTGTTTATTTGAGCCCAACTTTTATTATTGTCACATTGTTTGAGGATTTAACTATTTTTTGGTTATTTATATAAATGTTATTGCAGGGCTGCTTTGAAACACATGAAGATAGATCGTCTCAAGAAATTTGAGTACTGTTTGCCTTGTAGGTTTCCAAACTATCTTTTGTTGTTATAGTTGTTTAATTTCACATTGACTTATAGACGTTTTGATTATCTGAAGGATATGAGATTCTCTCTCTCTCTCTCTCTCTCTCTCTCTCTCGGTTGTTCAAAATTATTATGTTAGGAAGTGAAAAGGAAAATACCATCCTTAATGTTCTGAAATTTATGGATAAATTTGGGGCTTGATGATGGTTACTTTGACTTGGTTATTGACATAGGATGGTTCAACTCATGTTTGTTGGTGATCAATCATCATTGTCTGTAGTGCATGTTGAACTCTACTGGTTTTGACATGCTGTCATCTTTGACAGATTTCTATCAGCCTTTTAAGGAAGATGAGCTTGAGCAAAGCACTGAGGTCCCAATAATGTTTCCAGGAGAGCCAAAGCCGGTAAGGGTTATAGTTATTTATGAAACAAACTAATGGACAACAAATTGTTTGGATATGGAATATATGACTGGGTTTATGGATTCCCTTTATTTGATAAGCTAGAGTGCAGAAGGGGTGGAACCTAATATACAATAATAGTTCCTAAATTAAAAAAAGAAGAAAAATAAGTGAACAGGAAAAACTGTACTAGGCTGGCATGCGGTCATGAAGCGATGAATTTTTTATTTATTCTTGTCCTACATCCTTCTATGTCCTCCTTCCTTCTTGACTTCAATTTAAGTACAACTCATGGACATCCTTTTACTGAGATTATATATCTCTTAGATCTCTTTGTCCAACCCATTTTAATCCTATGCGAGGCTTATACTGGTGGCCATAAGTTTCTGGAAATTGGACAAATGAAGTAAAAGATCAATCTTTTCATTACACAAACAAGTTACTAGGTGCTCATATGAAATGGAATGACTACAGTATGTACACTTCCAGATCTTTGGTGAAGTGACTTTCTTTTTTGCCCTTTGCAGGTTTACTGTGAATTTGATTGGGAGTTGGATGAATTGAAGGTACAAAATCAAACTTTTTATGTTTGTGTATGTTTTGGATTGATTCAGTTCTGAAATTGTGTCGCTTATGATGCTTCTTATCAACTTTATCTTTTGCATCTGGTGCTTGTCATTGATACAGACATGGTTATTTTAATTGGCTAGGATTATTTTTTATATAAGTTCACTATTCAAGTTTGTAAATTATTTTGACCTTTGTAGCATATTCTTTTATAAGGAATCCATATATATCTTAGAGAGTGGCACTTCCAATTATATAGTGATGCTTCTTTAATGTATTTGTAATTGTTTTCTTTTTTATTCAGATACATTGACAATACTATTGAATATTTCTCTGCCATTTACGAGATTCATCTTGAGTTAGAATATGGCAATTTCTTCTTTAATTCAGGACTAGAACTGGAAGCTGAAGTATAGAAAGGCTAATGTTTATCTAATGATGTATTTCCTCGGTATTGTATTCTGATTTCAATGACTAATGTGTTTCAACGTGCATATTTATATTGTAATCATTTTTCCTAGTTACAAACATTTGATGAGTGAGCTTCTTTTGGTTATTTAATGATGTTTAACAGCAAGTCCTGGTAACATGCTTTTGCATCTTTTTTATTATTGAATTCCCCCATCTTTTGCCCAGTTTTGTTAAATTTGTTTCCTTGCTGATCCCCCTTTGTTAAGTACAAAGAGACGATATAAAAACATCAATGAAGCGTGTTGCACTAAATTGTCTCTAAACCTGTAGGAGTTCACTGATAAATTGATAGAAGAGGAGGAATTATCTGCAGACCAGAAGGATGCATTCAAGGTAAATTGTAAAAAAGATGGAAGTGACTCATAACCTTCTACTTCTCTCTTCCTCCTTCCCTTATCCTTGCACTAGTTGTTTCTGAATTTCCTTTAATGCTTTCTCAGGAGTTTGTCAAGGAGAAAGTACGTGAACAAAAGAAAAATAACCGGGAGGTACTCTTTTTTTCTTTAATATTTTTACCAAGATATAATTGGCTATATTTGGGTGATTGAACAATATTTATATAGAAGTATAAAATTTGTTTAGAAGTATAATTTTTCTTCTATTTCTCTCTTTTATAGGCAAGGGAAGCCCGGAGAAAAGCCATTGAAGAAATGAGTGAGGAAGCTAAAGCAGCATTTGAAAATATGAGGTTTTACAAGTTCTACCCTGTACAGACACCAGATACTCCTGACGTATCAAATGTTAAGGTAATGTTCTAAACACTGATATTTTGGATTTGTATTGGCATATGTGAAAGCAGCTTTGTTGCAACTTACAAGGTCAAGGGTTGCGGATAGTTGTCATATTTAAACTGGGTGTTCAAATATGTGCAATAGACTATGCTGGTCTACCATCTTGAATGCCTTTGCTTTTTTATTTTTGTTCATTGGAAAATTTGGTTGATGGATAGTTGTCATATTTAAACTGGGTGTTCAAAATATGTGCAATAGACTATGCTGGTCTACCATCTTGAATGCCTTTGCTTTTTTATTTTTGTTCATTGGAAAATTTGGTTGAATCAGGTGGTCATGTTGCTTTACTTAGCAGACCCATCTGGTTTTCCAAATGTCTTGGTCATACCACTGTTAGTCCCTCGGATAAAGTTTCTGTGTGGTTATATGGGATTGGATTTGTGTCATAAATGCCAGATGATTGCTGTTTTACTTAGTGGATTCAGCTTAGAAAAAGTCTGGTGTTTGGTAATTCAATTGATCTATTGTTGTATAATCATGAGTTTGTTCGAACTTCCAAGGTTCTGTCTAGGATTTGACCTTTAATTCAGTGAGTTCTTGCAGAAGAATAACATATTAAAAATTTCCATATATTTTGCTAAAGAAGAGACCTGGTTGTTGCTCGTTGCCCAGTTTTTCTGGGAACATTTCAGAATAGCCACTGCCTCTTTAGTTCTTGTTTTCAAAATATATAAATAATAGCAAAAAGAAAGAAGAGGAGGATCTTCCTTGGGCTTTATTGATGCTTAAGTCCTTTTTAATGTTCAGTATGACGACCTTATTGTCTCTTCTCCTAGAAGTGATTCATTCTTTGTATTTGCCACTGGTATGCACACTTTAGGTACCTGCCAAATACTCTATTGTCAGTCTCCCCTCATCCAGTTCACTTAGATGTTTGTTCTTGCTGCTTTTGTTATCCACCTATGCCATTCCTCTTTTGAATTAGTCTTGTTCATGTTTGTTGTCTAATTTTATCTTTATATTTATATTTAAGTCTCATTTTGGTCGGGTGTTCTAGCTTCATAGTTTTGTTTTATGCTGGGGTCTGTAACTTCATAGGTCTTAGTGGTTCTTGTTTTTCTGCTTTTTGTACATCTTTTGTTTCTCTGTTAATACAAATCGTTTCTTTAAAAAAAAATGTTTATTGTCTAATTCATTCAATATATCTCCTCAAACTGTGAGTCTCTTCTAATCAATTAGGGCCAACCAATAATTAGTATGTTTTTAAGTTTATGTAGTATTTGATGCTAGCTTCATAGTTTTGTTTTATGCTGGGGTCTGTAACTTCTAGGTCTTAGTGGTTCTTGTTTTTCTGCTTTTTGTACATCTTTTGTTTCTCTGTTAATACAAATCGTTTCTTTTAAAAAAAAAATGTTTATTGTCTAATTCATTCAATATGTCTCCTCAAACTGTGAGTCTCTTCTAATCAATTAGGGCCAACCAATAATTAGTATGTTTTTAAGTTTATGTAGTATTTGATGCTTAATGTAGTTACATGCCTTGGCTTAAGCTTACAGCTTTTTGTTTCTCTTCATTTCTTAGAAGTTAGGTCTTGCAACTTGTAGGCATTTTTAGTATTTATTGTTGGTTTGAGTAAATGGATGTGCATCCTCTCCGGATCATACCTCAGCTTTTAATTCCAAAGTTGATATAAAAGATTGGTTTTGCTTGTCTTTCTTAGAAAGAATAAAGTCTTTCTTAGAAAGAATAAAGTCTTTCTTAGAAAGAATAAAGTCTTTCTTAGAAAGAATAAAGTCTTTCTTAGAAAGAATAAAGTCTTTCTTAGAAAGAATAAAGTCTTTCTTAGAAAGAATAAAGTCTTTCTTAGAAAGAATAAAGTCTTTCTTAGAAAGAATAAAGTCTTTCTTAGAAAGAATAAAGTCTTTCTTAGAAAGAATAAAGTCTTTCTTAGAAAGAATAAAGTCTTTCTTAGAAAGAATAAAGTCTTTCTTCTTCTTTTTGTTATATTTTTTCCTTCCATTTTCTCATTTCCTCCCTTCACCTCTGCCTCTCCCTATTTCCAGGGTCAAAACCTCTGCAGCCCATGCCTTGCGTTTTCTACTTTTAACTTTTTGTCTATTACCTCCCGCCTCCCACTTTCCAGATCTGAGATCTCTGCAATGCATAACTACAGCGCCAAACTGGCATGATTTTGGGTGTTGCTAACCTTGTTAGTTAGTTAGTTTTTGGTATGGTGAATGAGGTGGGTTTGACTGAAATTTTGGTACTTGATTGAGTAGTGGATCTAAAGCTTAAACAGAGGTGGTCTACATGATGTTTTCTGTTGGGAGGCTGTTTTTGTCGAACGTGGAAAAGCAATATCATTGATGAAACACAACTTCAAATCGCTCATAGATAGACAAAACGAAGGGAAATTTAATATTTGAAAAATACGAATCCTTAAACAAGGGTTTTGTGCTTCCCTGAAAAGCACAAAAAAATTGTTCTGGGTTTTGGATTAAAACAGTGCCAAGTAAAAAAGCAAAGGAGAGGAAAGGTTGTATAGGTACTTTGTTTTTTGTGGTTTGCGGAGAGATTAAACACCTACTTGTGAGCATAATTGTGATCTTGTGATCTGACTTGAACGGTAAGGATTCAAAATTTAGGTGTGATGAACAGTTCCGGAGAGATCCACATCCTGAGAACATGTAGGCAAAGAAAGTTGGGCTTGCTCAATGTCAACTTGATGAATATTAGTGGATATCTTCTCAAAGTCACACAATTAACTTCTCGTGACATGCACAAAGAAACCATATTAACTTTAGACTTCTGCATATCCTGATAGGAAGTTGGTGTAGCAAAACCTTAAGCGTGGTTTTTATCTCTTTTAATGACATTAACTATTAGTAAAATGTAAGAGTAGATATGTGATGGGTTTGGTATGATTGTCTATGCATCCTCTCTTTAGCCTCTATTTTGTGTGTGTTTATTTCTCCATTTCTGTTTAGCATGCTTTCCATATAACTAAAGAAAGGTGTTTAAGCCCTTCTTTCCATTTTTAATAAAGGTTTTTGGTTCTTAAAGAAAGAGAAATACAATGAAGAGAGCTTTTCTGAACATGCCAGGGTTCATTACCCTTTGCACTTTTCATATAGAAGTGGACCATGATATGGTTCAATATTAATGTTTTCCGGGTGCTCTTGCCTCGCAGGCTCCATTCATCAACAGGTATTATGGCAAAGCTCATGAGGTATTGTGATTATTTCCTCTAAGGTCAAGATGGCAGATTTGAAATGTCTCGAGCCTTGTCTGGCCGTGCTGTTAACTACTCTAAGATAAAGACTTGGTACTCTGAAAAAGTATGGGAGGCAATCCCCTGGTGCCTCGATATAGAATTGCTTGAATACAGCCTAGGTGTCTCCCAGACAGATGTAGACTTGTAGCTTCAGAATTTTTAGATAAAAGAAGATGAGGTGCACTTGTTACCACAGGAGGAATTTGTAAGATACATTGAGGCTTTTGAATTTTGTACTAGTGGGGCTGTGAAGCTGGAATTTTCCAGTGGCTTAGAATGTCTTCATTTCTCTCTGAGTAATGTTCTTTTTCGAATTGACATTCGCTTTGTATTACCACAATTGGGATGTTGTAGGAGCAAGATGAATGACAACACAGTTGTGAATGTGTCCTTTCCTTTTTGTGAATAAAGCAGTTGCCTTTTATTTTATTTTATTTTATAATGATTTTTTAATTATCGTTTTAGGTAGAACAGTTGTATTATGTCATCATGGTGACGTGGTATAACAAACCAAACATAAATACCTTCATTAACAAGGTTTGAAGATGTCCCAAGTTCGGCTACAATAAAAATGGTAATACTTAAAACTCAACAGGTTCTACTTTAGACGGTGGCCCTCTTTCCAAAAATGACTCCTAAATAATCTGTTTACAGAACTGGTGAAAGCATAAGGCTTTAGAAACAAACATTATGACAAACTATACACAACAATTGAATGATAGATTTGGTCATACCTATTCACAAAGTATACTTGAAACTTGTCCAATGCAAATGGAATTTAGAGGCTCTAGATCAGAATTGTGCCCAAAACATTCATCCATGTTATATATGACCCCATAAAACATGAGCAAGCAGCAAATCATATGATAATACACATCAAGCACTCATACTTCCCGGCCTGCACTCCCTTACTTTCACTAGACCAGAAACGATAATAGCACAAAATGGCCCTTTCGTTTGAATTACACATACATCAGATACTATTACAATGTCAGCTGAGTTGTTTGGGCCAGATACAACGGCTTGACATCATGTACAGACTAAGTTATGCTGAAAGGCAAAAGCTACCTTGTTGAGAAAAAAGGAAGCAGCTCCTCTCAGTACTCTAGAAACCAGCTTTCGTCACCAGTAACCAGGATTAATGACCAGCAGCAGGAAATGATGTTTCCATTCACCAACGCTTGCAAAAGGCGTGAGGCCACAAAAGAGTGGCAGAAACAGAAATGAAGTACCATAAAACACCACCCGCCGAATCCAGTATGGAAATAGGGTTTTTCCTTTTGTTCCTTGAGACA